GTCTAGTCACAAACACAGTTTAGAATTGTTGATCCTGCCACTGTGCTGCAGCCTTTCGTGCTCCAGCACACTTTTGCCATCCACGGCCAGCTTTGCTTTTGCATTTTGCACCATAATGTCCGGTGCCGCTCCCAAGAGCAATGCCAAGGCAGCCATGCCCACGGCAGCCTCCACAGCCTCCACGGAGGCAGCGGTCCCCACGGCAGCTCCAGCCAAGGCCCCTCCGGCCAAGGCCCCTCCGGTGCTTGGGCCATGGGTGGCACCCATGCCAAATCCAGCGGTTGCACCATTGGTGCTTGCAAGGCCATTGGTGCCAGCCAACCAGGTGACGGCCCTCACCATGGCCTGCGGGTGGTACGTCCCACCCACTGCGGTTGTCCAGAACCCAACTGCACAGCATGCCACGGCGAGTTTCACCAACCAGCGGCCCAACTTCAACTATCCAGAGCCCACCCACTGGATCTGGGTGGAGTGCACCAGGTGCCAGGCGGCCATGGTGTCACTCCGTGACATCCACCAGGCCAGATCCTGCATCCGCTGCGGCCACTCTTGGTTCCAGTCCATTTTTGGTGGGCTGCGGATCTATGAGCCACGGCAGGACCAGGGCCACTTCGACCAGGACGACGACGAGGACCAGGGCCAGGTGAACCAGGAGGGCCAGGATTGGTTGGCTGCAGAAGACGAGGGCCAAACGAGCGACCATGATAACGAGGCCTTTCCGTCTCCAAATTGGCCAGACTGGGCAGTCATGGATTTTCTCAATGCCCTGCAGGAGCCCGAGAACCTCGACGAGCCCCAGAACCAGCAGCCCATGGAGCAGCCCACGGAGGAGCCCACGGAGGAGGCCACGGAGGAGCCCACGGACGAGCCCACGGAGTCCCAAGACCATGCAGGACCATCGCATAGCAGCATGTTCTGCTTGCCTTTGTTGTGTGACCTGGCATGCAGGACCAGCGGCCTAAAGGCACCATGCATGGTCTTCCATGGAGCGAGCGGCCAGGGCACCATGGATCTTCCATTGCATCTTCCATGCGATGACAAAAAATTCGCAAAGGATCTCAGGTTTCGATGCTTGGAGATATATTATAGATAGAAATCTATTGAAGTTAAGGTATATAGGGTTTAAATATATAATATATAATGGGGTTTATAAGTATAGGGGTTTATAGGGTTTCTATAGGGTTGAGTGCTTATAGGGTTTAATAGGGTTTATATAGGGCTGTGTCTTTCTATCTCTAGACATGTAGATATTCATTTTGGGATTATTATAGTCTTTAAGTTTGTATAGGGTTTAGGGTTTGGAGGTTTTAAGTCTTTTTTTAGGTATTAAGGTTTCAAGACATACAGAGACATTGTTTCAGCTGTCCGGGAACATCCACAGGAATATATATATATATATATATATATATATATATATATCATTTTTTATACAGACAGATATATATATATATATACAGACTCAGATATATATATATATATATATATATATTCTAGTGTATATATACTGCTACTTATACAGATTTGTTGCCAGAATGGCCAGTATACCCATTGCCAGTGTGGCCAGCATGTTCATATTGTTTTACATTTATATGTAGCCACAGCCATCATGGCCAGCTTCTTTAGATTTCTCATCCACACATTGAAAGACAGCCATCGTGGCCAGTTTTTGTTTTATATGGATATAGCCAGCATGGCCAGCAAACTCCAACACCAGTCCCAGCAACCAGTGCAGCACCATAAGCAATGTGAAACCCAGCAGCCCTATAGTGCATGCATCTCCTGTCCGAGTGCCAGTGTGAGCTGGTAGCAGACCCCAGTCGCAGGCACATGTGCATCACATAATGTTGTAATCCGAGCCCGTTCTCTCCAGCGGTTCAGTCGAGTCGCAAGCACCAAACAAGCCTCACCCAGACCATGCGAGCAGACTGAGTAGATGGAAACTTACAAGCAGTGTTCAACAAACAGTGGTTGCATTCAGGATTGCATCAACAATCCTAAGTACAAGAGTTTTGCACTTAGGATTGCAATTACAATCCTAAGTGCAGAATTTCTGCACTTAGGATTGCAATTACAATCCTAAGTGCAAAATTTCTGCACTTAGGATTGCAATTACAATCCTAAGTGTACTAAGCCATTGTTTGGCGTTTTCCATTTCTCCACGTGGCCCGCAGCCATGGATGATGGCGACAGGACTGTGGTGCCGACGACACCGAGTCCAGAGTACGATCCTCACAGCCCTGCGATGAGTGAAGTCTCCCGTGAGACAGTGGTGCCGGAGAGGTCCACAGCCAAGGCACGGACCCAGGTCTTCGCATGGCCGACACCACCAGATTGGGTGAACCTACAGGCTGCTGCCCAACAAGCAGCGGTGCTGGGCCGAATGGGACCAGTGCTGGGACAGTTTGGGCCGACAGCACCACTGGTGCCTCCAACACCACCCTTGGTGCCTCCAACAGCACCATTGCTGGCTCCGACAGCACCATTGGTGCCTCCGACAGCACCATTCCTGACTCCTCCAAGAGCAGCATGGCTGCCTTCAGTTGGACCAATGGTGCCCGCAGTGGCACCATGCCTGCCTTCAGCAGCACCACTGCTGCAACCGATGGTGCCTCCAGCGGCAGCATTTCCTCCAGCTGAATGGGTCCATGGTTGGCAGCCAGAGGCAACCACACACAGCATGGAGGTAACATTCGGAGGCAGGGGACCCAGTCAGCCACAACAACCCCCAGCAGAGGCCGCAGCAAGACCAGCACAGCAGGCAGCACCACCAACAGAACAACAAGGCCCTGAGGCCCAAGGGAAGGAACAGCAACAACCACCATCCCAAGCAGCCGGGCCAACAACACAGCAGCAGCCACGGCAGCAGCCACCCACAGCAGAGCAACAGCCACAGCAGCAGCAACCTCCCTGGCGGCGACAACAAGCACCACAGCCAGCACCACCAAAGTCAGCAGCGGAAGCGGCGAGGCCACCAAAGGAACCAGCAAAGTCAGCAACGGAAGCGGCGAGGCCACCAATGGAACCCACTCGACCAGTGGGCCCAATCAGCAAAGCCAACGTTATGAAGGGCAAAGGCAAAGGCAAAGAATCCAACATCCCGGCCGCATTCCGAAAGCAAGCATTGGGCCACACACCCATGGTCGTTCCGCCACCGAAGCAAACACCAGAGCCGGCCACCTCCTCCCACGACCCATGGGCTTTCCAAGGACCGCCGCCCAAGCTGCAGCCACGAGAACCAGACTACCCACCACCTGGATTCGGGCCAAAGCAAGTGGGAAAAGAACCACCAAAGGCCAGGCGACCCACTGCTGCTGCACCAGCCGGTGCCATGCCAGATGTGCCACACCGACACACAGGCTGGAAACACAAAGCATGTTGGCTGTTGACCAGATACAGCCAAGAAGATTGGAGAGGGGTCCAGGAGCTGTGCAGCAGCTTCCAAAAGGAGCTCCATGACCACGAACCAGTGCTGTGGCTGGACGGGAAACCAACGTGGGCCAGGAAGGTCCAATGGTTCATTGACCATTGGACCCAGGGCGACTATGCTCGCTGCCACAGACTCTACCAGTGGCACCATGGACCTGATTGTTTAGGTTTTCCAGAAACCATATAGTTCCGAATCTTTTCTAAAGCATTGCTGAGATAAATATGGATCGGAAAGCCATAAATAAGCTAAGCCCCAGATAAGCTTTCTTTGAAAGGAGTTTGAAACAATAGTCCAAGTTCGTTTTTTTCGACCGACACAACCGCTGTCCATTAAGGTTCAGCACGGAGTCCCAGATGGCCCAGTACTTGGCTGAGCATGCTATGGTGGTGGAGGAGCACGGCCATGACCCACTGCAGCCAGACCGCTTCAGGCAGCACCAGTAAAACACCAGAGGTCCGTGCATGCACCATGTCCATGTCATGTATTCGCCAGTTTTGTGGCCAGCACACTTCGCCATTTTTTGTGGCCAGCACAGTTCGCCATTTTTTGTGGCCAGCACCGTAACTATACAGAAAGAATCAAACTTATTGGTTGTTTTTGTTTTCTTTCTCTCTATATATATGTATATATATATATATATACACACATATGTTTATATCTATCTATATATATATATATGTGTTTCTTCTTTCTGTGTATAATAATCTAGGCTGCATACCTGTATATGTGTCTATATCTACGTATGTGTGTGTGTATATATACACATACATACATATATTTGTTTCATTATACACACCTATATACCCAGTTACATACAATCACTGTGCTTATATATATATAAGCAAACGTATAGATGGTGATAAAGCCACATGGCTAGCCACTTTGTTTTTTTCCTTTCCATATAGAGTCTTCTACATAATATATAGTTACTTAGATATCTATATATATATATATATGTGTATCTGTCTGTTTACCTACATATGTACATCTTTATATATACATGCATTCATTTAATTGAACTATATAACTTATATATATATACACATTCTTTCTGTTGGCTAGCCAAAAAAGCTGGATACTGTATATGTTTCACATGGTATCTGTACATGGGTGTGTGTGTGTGTGTCTTTTCTTCTTCATCTAAACTCTCACGAACTTCATGTTGTTTTGGCAGAAATCCAGACAACTTTGGCTTGCATGATGTCTCCTTCCAGAATCAACAATCGCTGTGTTCTATATTCTGTACTGTTTTCTGTTGTTGTCCATACATAAAGAGACACAGACATATATTTTATGTGTATATACATATATAGATATGCATATCTGTCTTTACATATACATGTCTTCTGTGTGTCCTAATGTATCTATAGGATGTGCCTTTCAACGTGCCGCTATAGATTGCTTGAGATGTGCTTTCTCTGCCATCCTCGCAGCCACCTTGGCCTGCATTCCAATTTGTTTTAGGACCACGCTTGTGCCGGCATGTCCCAAGTGTGGAGCATTTCTGACTTTTTGTCTGAACTTCGCCATCTGGGCCAGCTCACTAAGATGAGGGAGCCTGGTCGTCACTACCATGGCGACCACATTCGTGGAAAGGATCCGTGCGGCCAAGAATTGGACATCGGCAGGCATCATCCAATTGATCGGTGAAGTCCAAAGCATGGAGCTGCCAGATGCCATAAAGGAGAGCATCCAGGAGGCCGTTGAGACATGCCAGACCAACGAAGCCTCCCACATCAAGCTCTCCAGTTGCGGCCAGAAGATAGCCCATGTGCCAGCATACTTGACCACGGCGGATTGGCAGGCTCTCGAATCTGCCGTATCCAAGGATGACCAGATGTCTGTCATGGCCAAACGGCTCCGAGCAATGGGCCTTACCTCCCTGAAGGAGAACACGGTGCACCAGGTGCTCGCCACCCTGCTCTACGTCAACCACAGCCGAGGCCAACCACAGATGCAGCCGAGGGCCATACATTCCATGGTAGACGACTTCCAGGCCATCTTCCACGGCACGGCCAAGATTGAGGCTGTGCCCAAACTGGCCACTTACTCGGAGGATCCTCTCCAGAATGGCGAGGCCTGGCTGAGCCAAGCATACACGAATGGCTGCAGTCCAGCCAATAAAAAGCTTCCTCTGCATGCTTGGTACAGGAAGGTGCCCATGAGGAAGAACCATCATTTGCTGGTTGGCTATCATGTGCCGGCGGAGTCCAACAAGGCACATGGAAGCCATGACCATCTGGTCTGGCCAAAGCTGCCCAAATGCTCTCCCAATTGGCAGAACGGTGGGCTTCACCACCTGCAGAGCCAGAGATTAAACTCTTGCAGCCTCGCCAGGACCGGCTGGCTCTGCAGAACCTGCCAACACCGCAGCAGCAACCATCGCAGCTTGCACTTCTGCCGGTGCAGAACGAGCAGAACCAAGCGGTCAGCAGCAGCCGCTGCAGCAGCAGCCGCTGCAGCAGCAGCAGCCGCTGCAGCAGCAGCAGCCGTTGCAGCAGCCAGTGCAGCTGCAGCAGCCCTCGCAGCAGCCACTGCAACTGCAGCAGCCCTCGCCCCAGCCACTGCAGCTGCAGCAGCCGTCGCAGCAAACAGCACTGCAGCAGACTTCTGCTACGGCCCATGATGAGGCGGGCAGCCAAGCAGCAGTGCCGCCGGATCCCATGCTCGCCACAGCCGAGCCAGACATGTGTACGGAGAAGCCCTGCAATTCCAAGCCAAAGACTTTGCAGGAGTTTGAGGACCAGCACTTCGAGGAACTCAGGAAGAGGAAGCTTGAGGCCAAAGAGAAGGCCGTGCCAAAGGCAAAAGCCAAAGCGAAGGCCAAAGCCAAGGCCAAGGCCAATCCCAAGGCTAAGCCCAATCCCAAGGCTAAGGCCAAGGCCAAGGCCACCCCCAAGGCAAAGGCGAACCAAGCGAAGCCAGTGGCCAAGAACCAGGACCACCTGCCGCCGCACAAGCGGGATCCACCGATTTTCGGGTGCCCCAAATGCCGAGGGAATCCAAGCGGTTGTGGGCAGTGCCTGAGCCCAACGTACACAGGCCTGCGGCTCCCAGGCCGAGAAGCCTATCGGGCCCATATGGCCCGAAAGGCCATGGCGGGGAGACCTCCCGTGTCACCATACTTGGCCATTTTGGCTGACCAGATCCGTTGGCTTAACCACGGGCCTTGCATTGGGGCAAAAGTTTCTCGCAAGTTGTTTGCTTTGCATGCAATGCTCGCTCTCTCTCTCTCTCTCTCGCTGTCGTCTCCGTGTAGAGATACACAGACACACACACACGTATATATATATATATATATATATATAGAAATGGTGTATACAATGGTTTATGTCGCATATATAATAAGGTTCTATTTCTCCAATTACTTTCGCTTTTCATTCAATAACTGAAAAATATATGCCTATATACATGCAATAAATATACATATTTATATGTATATATATATACATATATGTATATATAGTCTTATATGCATATATATACTTTTATATCTATACATATATATATATATATATATATTTCATGTGCGAGCATGAATTTGACGTCTGTGGACGGTCAATTTCTTCTTGTAGCTGGAATATATGTATTTCTCTTGAGGTATGATACTGCAAGAATCATATATTCCTGACAAAGGGCCTCTATATGGCATGCAGGGTTTCTTTTTGGCGACATAGCAATCGGTGAGTGCCCTTTCCATTTCTGTCCTGCCAGCTCTGAGAATGCATGACTTCTGTCCGTGAAGCTTGTTGCTCCAAACAAGAAGTACCAGCAGAGGCAATGCATGCAGGACTAGTTTGAACATGGTGCCCCGAGCTCCCCTCTGCAAAACCGTGCATATATATATATATATGCTTGTCGATGGAACGTTTCCCGTTGATTACGTGCACACCAGATGGATGCAGACAGCTCAGATACATCGAAATATCTTAAAGTATGTGTTTACATATATATATATAAGAAGTTCGGATCCATCATTTGTAAACCAAGTAGGCACTGTCCGAAGCCCTGGGTGACCATGGAGCCTTCCAAAAAGAAAGCCAAACTTCAACACCTTCTGACGTTCAAGGCCAGCCTGCCAGGCCATTCCCAAAGTGCTTTGGCGGGCTTCGTCAAAGCAGCCAAAGAGCAGGGCCTCCCGGAAGCCAGTTCTTCCAACGACCAGCGAAAGGCACGGCAACAGCTTCTTGAAAGCTGTGATGGCGGCCCCCTGGGACCATTGATCCAGCAGGCAGAACTGCCCATGAGCGACGGTGCCACAGTGACCATCCATTTTGCCAACCTTCTGGTCTATATCACCAGTCTTTTCGCCATGGGGGGCAGCTTCCATGATCTGCTCCAAAGGAAGCATGCGGCCAATCCCTCGTCGCTGGACAAGCCCTGGTCCTTGATCTTGTATTGCGACGAGGTGATCCCTGGCAATGTTCTTGGTCGTGCTGAACGCAAGCTATGGGCCATTTACGCCACCTTCCTCCAGCTAGGCCAAGAAGCCATGGGCCACGAAGACATGTGGCTGACCATCAGCCTAGAAAGATCCACCTTCGTGGCCCAATTGCCAGGTGGCATAGGCCAGGTGTTCGCCAAGATTCTGGAAGCCATCTTTTGCTGCCCCATGGCTGAACCATGTGGAGGCCTGCTCTTGAAACGTCCACATGGGCCCATGGGCAACATCCGCCTCCATTTCAATTGGGGTATATGCCTCGCTGATGGGGCTGCCCAGAAGCAGATCTGGTCTTCCAAAGGCGACGCTGGTACCCGATTTTGCATGTTATGCGCAAACATCCACTCAGCAGCCACCATGGCTGCAGGCCAGGATGTCATTGACCATGCGACGACCAAATACCACCAACTGCGCTTGACAACCGACACTGAGGTCATCCAGTCCTACCATCGTTTGGACCAAAGGCAGCAAACATGCACCAAGGCGGATTTCCAGCACTGGCAGCAGGCCGCAGGGTGGACGTGGAATGCCCATGCCCTCCTCTTGAACCAGCCGCTGTTGTCCAGAGGCCACATTCGACCAGTGAGCCAGTTTTGCCACGATTGGATGCATGGGATCTTGCAAGGCACTGGCCCTGTCGTCCTCTTCCAGACAATGGAGACCATTGGCATGGCAATGGGTTTCAATGCTTGGGATTCCATGGAAAAGTACATCCAGCTCTGGTCCTGTCCAGGGGCTTCCAAAGCAGGGCACCTGAAAGCTTTGTTTTCCTCCAGGATGGTGAGCAAACACCAGGCAAGTTATAAGTTTTCCTGCCAGGCCAGCGACCTCTTGAGTATATTCCCCATTGTGCGGCATTATCTCCACACCATGGTTATGCCGGTGGGCGGCTGCCCCATTAAGGCCTGCGAGGCATTCTTGGCCCATGCAGACCTGCTCGACCAGGTGCACCAAGGAACCATGTATGGGGCCACTACCAGGGCAAGCCTACTACCAGCTGCTGAGTTGGCCATCCAGAGTTTCGTGGAAGCCAACTTCGGAGTTTCCTTAATAAAGAAGTGGCACTGGCTTCTGCACCTGCCTGATTTCTTGGAGAGGTATGGGATGTTGCCAAGCACTTTCACCACTGAGCGCAAGCACAAAACCATTGCCAAGTATGCCACCAACTTGCAGAAGACCACGGCTTTCGAAAGCCATTTGATGCAGCAGGTCGTGGCCATGGAGATCACCACTTTGAAGGAGCCAGGTCTGCACCCGGACACCTGCCAGCTGCTGAAGCCAAAGAAAGCTACCAAGCAGCAAGTCCAAGTCCTCCGCGACTTCGTGGATGGCCCATTGAACGAAGCCATGGTTGCTTCGAGTGCGAAGCTTGCCAAAGGTGGCAACATTCATGCCCACGATGTGGTTGTCTTCCAGCAGCAAGACGGACGTTGGGAAGTCGGCCAAGTTTGGTTCCACTTGGAAGTGGGTGCTCAACA